TGGCACTTATCCCCTTCGAGGTTAGCGAAAATGAACCCAAACTCTAGTCCAAAATGTTGGAAATGTAAAAACATAGAGGGAACCTATTTTCATATGTGGTGGACCTGTAAAGAAGCCCAGAAATACTGGCAAAAAATTAGAAAATGGCTGGAGGAAATAACCAAAGAACAAATCGAATACAAACCAGAGTTCTTCCTACTAGGGATCTCTGATAAACATTTTTCTAAAAAGACGAAATATATTATAATTCATATTCTAACTGCGGCCAGATTAGCATTTGCCCAGTGCTGGAAATCATCCTATTTACCTACAGATCAAATGGTCATCCAGAAAATATGTGACTGTGCAGAAATGGACAATTTAACCATAGCTCTTAAAAATAAAGAGTCTTCAGCATTTTATAATAATTGGAATGCGTGGTATAATTGGTTATACCAGAGATAAACTGTTCAATGAATAATGGGTAGTGTAAGCATAAATAGTGATAAGATGTGTATATTTAAAGTAAGGTAGGAGAATTGGATCTTGCAGACTGTCAAAAAGGATATCTGTCTGGTTTTAACGTATTTTCTTTTTTCTTCCGTCTCTTTGTTTTTTTCTTTCTTTTATACTTCTTTTTCTCCTTTTTCGGTCGCAAGACCGAGCGTTTTTGGTTTTTTGTTTTTTTTCTCCTTCCCTTCTTTCTTTCTTCTTTTTCTCTCTCTGTTGCATATGTAATGTTGTTATGTTTTTTTTAATTGTAAATTCAATAAAATTTATTCAAAAAAAAAAAGTTGTAAGTTTCAATATACTTTTCACACTGTTAGTAATAATAATACACTTAGATTACTTAATCATAGTTGTCCACCTTCTAACCTCTATATATTAAGAATTACTCAATATGCCACTAAGGTTCTAATGTCCCAATATATAAAAATTCCAAAAAAGCCAATTATTAATAAAATTTAGTCAGTCCCAGAATTATACCACCAAATCCTCTAAATTTATCATCCTTAAAAGCTATTTAATAATTTACAGTCTTTATAATATTCCAGTTTATACCTTCCCAGTTGTCCAAATTTTCTTTTTTTCTTCTACCACTTTTCTTCTTTTATCTCATAGGATGTTCTGTCAAGTAGTGTTAGTAATCCAAATCCAAATTAGCCCACCAAATTTCCTCAAGTCTTTCAAATCTACCATCCAGTGAACAGTTTCAACAGTGTTTTTGTTATTTGCAATTCAGTTTGTCTTTAAAATCTTCAAAAAGCTCACTAAATATTTCCAAACATCTAGATTGCCTACTGAAATAGAATCAAGGTCAAGTCGCCCTCCAGGTGTTGTTTACTTTCCCTCCTTTCCTTTATTTATATTAAACAATGATCACTTTCACTTGAATTTCCCATGCTGCAGTGATCTTCTTCCTCCAGTAGATGGCTCTCCTGCTCCAAATTCCAACATTATAAACAGGTGCAAAAATCAAACAGCTAATTGTCAACAGATCAGAGGGTTAAAAGTAAAAATGAGAAAAGCAGTTTCTCCCAATAATCACTTTTTGAGTTGTTGTTAAATCTTTTCCAGGCTTTCTATGTTTTAAAGCTTCCGTTTAGACATTTCTTTCGCATCTGGATCTTTGATTTTTCTCCATGTATCCAATTGCTGCTTTCTTAACTCTTGGAGATTATTTTTTGGAATTCTTTTACTTGGGTTAAATATTTAGAATAAAAGTTGGAAGTTTCTCACCCAGTTTCAATGCTCTGTCCACAAACCGCTCCAGCACAAATTTTATTGTCCCAGTTGTCACAGCTTGTCACTTGCCAAAATGGCCATCATCCCTACTGCCGTTCAGGAGAGCTTTCTTCGGATCTAATGAGGAAATTGTGATTTCCTTGAGATTAATGAAGGACTTCTTCTTTCTTCACCACCCCTCCAGGGTGGATTTGACCCCAGAGGGTCTCCCAGCAAGCAGATATAGGCAGCCATGAAGCTTGCCCAGAGGAATCCTATTGTTCATATACAAGCTGAGATGTTGCACACAAGAAGACAATATAAAAATTATAAAATTAAAGAAAAAATACATTTTGCCATTTCAATCTGGTCAGAACTCGAGCTGGCTGCCAAAAATCATAACTCAGTAATATTCTGTAGGTGTCCCAAAGGATATATATAGACCAAGTATATAGACCAAGGCACCTGTCTCTCACCCTCTTATACAGGCACCAATCAAATAGGATGTGAGCCAGATCTTCCACCTCTGCTGCTCTGCAAATGCAGAGATGTCCATTCTGGGGTATAGAATGGAATCTCCCATATATGACCATTGTGTCAAGCTGTTCAAATTTTGCTCATATAAATATCTCCCTAAAATGTTTTAGCAGTTGTAATTTCAAATAGCTATGTATTTGCTTGGCCATTTCAAATTACTCACCTTACTAAGGAGTTATATCATTTTGTGTTTCTATATCCTTAATTCTTTGGGCAGCTGTTTTTTAAAATCATTCTTCTACTATGCAAGAGACAGGAAGGCCATAACTTCTTACAAAATTTGTTAGTTTGATGATTCAAGAGATTTATGATTGTGATTTTATTTGCTCTAGAAGAAATAATTTGGGGAGTCTATCCATTTCATTGACTTTGTACTAGTGGTTATATGTTCTAATGTTGGATAGTGCATGAATTGTATGAATTCCCAATTCATCTCTAACTGCTACAGATGATCTACACCAGGGGTGTCAAACTCAAGGGTGCAGGCCGGATCTGGCCCACAGGGCCGGCCTGGAGTTATTAAAGGACTGGCCTGCAGTGCCTCTGGAGGCTAAAATGGGCTGTGTGTGCCCCCCCCCCGCACCTCATTTTCACTCTCCGTGGCCTCCTGCAGCACTTTGCTCACTGAAAACAGGCTGAATAATGACCTAAAAAAGAGTCCAAAATGGGGCCAAACACGGACTGAAAACAGGCCGAAAACCAGTCAAAAATGGCTGAAAACGAGCCAAAAAACAGCCTGAGAATGAGCAAAAAATGAGCCGGAAAATGGGGCAAAATAATGGCCCCAAAACAGGTGGCAGAGTGCTGCATGGAGGGTAAAAACAAGACTCAGGGGGGCCCACATGTGGACCCCCACACCCCGTTTTGGCCAGCAGGGTGCTGAAGAAGGCATCCATTCCGACCATCCCCCCCAGGGAGAACTACAGTGCTGATCCAGCCCTCGAAGAAATCCAGCGTGACACCCCTGAGCTATTGGGATTCCCCATATCAAAACAACTTACCTTATGTGCGACCAGAACCTGAAAATAATATTTAACACAGCAGAGTATATAAGTGAAACGGTTCGGTTGAGATCTGCATACATGGGGCTGATTAGGGTAGATTGCTGGGGTAACACCAAAATATAATTTTATCATATTTTATATCTTAAATTATATTTTATTCCAATTTCATTTCAGACAATTCCATTTCAAATTGCTTTTATCAAATTTTAGTAATAATTTGTTTCTAGGACTATACTTTTGATATGCCCCAAGGGCTAATCAATCTATCAATCAATCATCAATAATAATTACAGCTAATCAGAAATATGTTAAATCAAGTACACCCTAATAATTTGGATATAACCAAAATGATTAAGTATGAAAATTTATTAGACCTACAAGGAAAGTTAAAAACACGACAAGAATTACAAGAACGAGGATTTATAATTGATCAGTGGGTGTACCTTCAAATTCATAGTAAATACAAACAAGACATTAAAGAATTTGGAATCTACAATAAATTACAGACTCTAGACAAAATTCTATTAGGACCAAGTAAAAAAAATATATCTAAATTTTACAAATATTTATTAGAAACAGAACTGGAACAAGAAATTGTCAAGGGAAATATGATTGCGTGGAGCAGAAATGTGGGTCGGAGCATTACCCTAGCAGAATGGGAAAAGGTCTGGAACAGGAACATTAAGATCACGAAATCAGCAGCTTATAAAGAAAACTTATATAAAATGTTTTATAGATGGCACCTGCCTCCTTCGAGATTGGCCAAGATGAACCCCAACACGAGCCCCAAGTGTTGGAAATGTCAAAACATAGAAGGTACCTTCTTCCACATGTGGTGGTCATGCAAGGAAACCCAGAAGTATTGGCAAAAAATTAGGCACTGGCTAGAGGAAATAACCATGGAACAGATTGAGTACAAACCGGAGTCCTTCCTTCTAGGAATTTTTGATAAACGAATATCCAAAAAATCAAAGTATATTACAATCCATATCTTAACCGCGGCCAGACTGGCATTTGCCCAGTGCTGGAAACTACCTTCCATCCCCACTGAACTTATGGTCATTCAGAAAATTTTACAATGTGCAGAAATGGACAATCTAACCCAAGCATTAAAAAATAAAGAATCTTCAATTTATTCTAGCAATTGGAATCCTTTGTATATTTGGCTTAATCAAAGATAGTTCACCGCTAAGAAGACTAAGGCTGACGATAGCTTTGAAGAAGAAAAGACCTTACTGACAGTTACAAAATATGGTTTTATTATAATTGTCTTTCCTACCCTTGTTTTCCCCACTTTTCCCCCCTTCTCTTCCCTTTCCCTCTTTCCTCTCTCAAACTTTCCTTTCTTTCCCTCTTGGCTTACGCCAAGACTGGTGCGTCTCTTTGTTGTATATAATTTATAGCTGTGTTGTTGTCTTTTTTTTTAAAAAGTAAAATTAATAAAGTTTATTTAAAAAAAAAAAGAAATATGTTAAATCAAAGCTGAACTTTATTTGATTCTTTTTATTCTAATTTGTTTTACTTTTACTGTAGGCCACACTTACTGCATGCAGCAAATACTGAACTTTATATTTTACTGAAATCTATTCATTTTTATCATACACTTTTGCAAATCAACAAATATCTAATGAACTTAAAGATTCAATAATCATATCAATGACTTCTTAAAAGGCAAACACTTATGGTGATTTTGATGATTACTTTTATGGTTGAAAGTTAGCAAAACATTTTATACTGACATGGGACATGTTTTACCTTATCATCTCTTGATATAAGAACATGCGACAGCCAGCAGTTTGGTTTATTACAGCCATGCAATGAATTGAAATGGTATCTGCAGTATCCACGAGGTAAAGTCAATCCTAAATTAGTCTGCAAAATTATTTAAAGAAAGATAAAGCATTTTTGTTTTCAGATTCATTTAAAACCAAAGTGGAAGAAGGTCAAAGAGTAAGATTTCTCTGGCATATACTTTTTGAAATCAAAGCTTGTAAGTCTGGAGTGTCTGAAAAACTGGCTGAAAAATGGGCTGAAAACGAGCCAAAAAATGGGCCAAAAATGACCTGAAAACGGCCAGCAGAGTGCTGCAGGAGGCATCCATCCCAACCCCCAGCTGGCCTGCGGAGGAGAACTACAATGCTGATCCAACCCTCAAAGAAATCCAGTTTGACATCCTTGTTGTAAGTAACAATAAGAATGTTAAACTTATTATATTATTTTTCTTTTCTATAATGGAAGCAATGTAGTAAAATGAGTTGGGAAAAAAAAAGAAATGAAATCTACCTCTCAATTCAGGAATTTATCTATAATACAATTTATTTGAAGACGATATCAAGACAGTATATAAACTTATTTCTATTACAACTCAAAATTTTAAGATCTTTCCCCTCTAAATTCTGATAATGAATATCATCAAGCTAAATTAGTAGGATAACCAATGCAGCAGAAGCAATTATATTAACTTTTTTCTTCCTAAAAATGGAGGTGAGTATTCTTATATGTTACTGTGAACTGGTGGCACAAAACCTATGGGCTAAAAGTAGCTTTTTTCAAATAATTTTTAAGAAGACAAAGATACATGTATCCTGACTTATAACTAGTTGTTTAGCAACCATTCAAAATTATGACTTATTGGAACAAGCAAGTTCCAACAGTCACTGCCAGTCATGTGACTGAATTTCAGATACTCAGCAACACAGCTAGATTTACAGCTGTTTGCAGTGTCTTGCAATGATGTGACTGCATTTTATGATGTTTTTGACAAAATGAAAAGGTTTTTAGAAAAACCACATCATAATGAACAATGGGCTTATTTAATGACTGCCATGTTTAATGATCACCACAAAAAAGAGAATAAAATCCAGTCAGTCATGTAATTCACCCAATTTATGACCATCACAACATATGTCCGTAATGGGTAGACTCTATTATGGTTGTATGTTGAGGACTACCTATATTCAGCTTGCAATGATGCACAATCACTCCAAGTATTACGTAGCTGCCTTATAAATCTCAATTAAAGAAATAATGTTTATAAACATAACACACATAGCAGTTTTTCTCATATGCCTTGACAGTCAGATACAGTAGACAAAAACCTCTAATGCACAGTGTGAAATATCTGGATAACATGAAATTGGTCATATTTTCTCATGATTGACGAGAAGACAAATAGGAAAACGATAACAATGTTGATGGTATACTAATAAACATTGAGCGCAATCCCTAGTGAAGCTATACCTTGATGTGGTTGTGTGGCTTGTGCGCTCTGAGAAAGATGAGTTATACCCACTTGTTGTCAAGCAGTTTAACAACATATTGCAAGAAGGTGAAATTGAAGAGTGGCCAACATCTGGCAAAAGCTACCTAATAATGAACTATCCAGGAAAGGAGCAGCACCAGGTAAACTACAAGTCAATTATCAGCTTGCCAATGATTTTCAAATGCAATCCAACGCCTCTATTTGAAAATAAGCTCTTTCCATCCAAGCAGAAAGGAAACCACTCAAGACAACAGAGGAACAAAAGATCAACTCCTAATTGACAAGATTCTGGAAAACTGCAAGTATGAATGTACTTGAAGGTAGCATGGATTGATTACAAGAAGGCATTCGATTTCCTGCCACATAATTGGATAATCAATATAAATTATAAATAAGAAGAAATAAGGGGATCAATATAAATATCAGAAATTTTGGGCAAAGATTAATGGCACAATGAAAGACATGGTTATTGGTCAATGCTAGTAGATTGATAGAAGCTAAGAACAAGTGATGATGACCACTTTGTTATTGCACTGATTCCTCTCTCAACAATACTGAATAATTGGGTCATGGTTATCAAACATTAAAAACATCTGCCAGACTATTCACCTCCTTTATATGAACAAAGTTGTATGGAAAAACATCGTCTGAAATAGCACTGCTCAACACTGTCTGTGTATACTGCAAGGGAGTTTAGACTGGACAAATGTGTCATGTTCACCAGTAAACAGAGAAAATATTGAAAGATGCTCTATGGCAGGGGTCTCAGGGGTTTGCAACCTTTAACATTCAAAGAGCCACTTGAGCCCATTTCCCACAGAAAACAAAACACTGGGAGCCACAAAACCTGGGTGGGATAGCCAACTCGATATCATTCACTCCCACACAGTCACATGCCTACCCAGGTTTTGTGGCTCGTTTTTCTTTTCTATGGGAAATAAGTATCTCCCCCACTCTCTCCCTCCCATCTCTTTCTCCCTCCTTCCCTCTCTGTCTTATCTTTCTCTCACCTGTATTTCTTTTTCTCTATATCTCCCTATCTCCCTCTCCCTCTTTTCTTTCTCTGTATCAGGCTACAGAACTTTTTCCGATTCAATTTACAAGAATGAACTTCTGAAAACCAAATGTATCAAAAGGAATCCTTTATTGAGATGAGACAATTCATGTAGGAGTTCAAAGCAGCGCCTGAGGTCCCTCAGGCATACAGGGATAAGGGAGTTTAGAACCCCTCCCCTTATCTTGATGTGTATTTAGGGAAACAAAAGCCACTATGTTAATTCCCCCCAAGCCATTCTGTAGAAATGATCTTTTTCACAGTTTCCCAGGGCATACCTAATTTCCCCCCATCCCCTTTTTAAAATGAACTTTTCCAGAGATTCCCAGGACACATCTCACTGTGGAATTTTTATGATCTTCTTATCTCCTGGCTGTGCCTCTCAGAGGTGATGGGTTCTGGCCATCTGGGTTTTCTCCCTCCATTGTATCATGTGTGGCTTATACAAATTTGATATAAGATTAAATATATTCAGATTACATCAAGAAAGGATTTCTTTATCCGTCTCCCCCACTTTTCTTTTTCCACTGAAGAAATGATAGATACACAGATCTGGCACTCTCCCTCATCTCTTTCCCTTCTTCTGTCTCTCCTTTCTCGTTCTCTCAACTTTCACTTTTTCTATCTCCCTCTCATCCCCCTCTCTCCCTCATCTCTCTCTCTGCCTCTCTCTTTCCCTCACTCTTTGCCTCCCTTCTTCCCTCCCACTCCCCACCTCCATTTCCCAACCCATACACCCAGGAATAACTGTAAAGAAATTCTACTATGTTCTCGTTCTCTGTCTCTGGAAAAATACAAAATAAACATTGCATTGCAAAAGGAGTGACTGTCAGGATGTTACATCACAGCACCACAAGGTTGCTGCCTTACTGCAGATCACCGCACACACTTCAGAGAAGCATCATCCCAAGCAGCAGCACACTCATACAGGCATGCATATTCATCCAGCAAAGTGGATGGATCAGTCCAAAGTGGCTGGAAAATATAGTTCCTGGGCACCCCCAAAGATGCTTGGCAGGCAAAGAATGGGATGTAATTCCCCCATCCCCAATTACCAAGGCAGTGTCGGCTGAATCCTTGCAAAACTGGGCACGGCAGAGAGAGGAGAGCAGACAGAGTTGAATCGAGCTGAATGTGTCTCCCTCTGTCTCCCTCTCACTGCCTGACTGGAGGGAAAGGGCAGGCGGCTACTTCCGACTTTGATGGTGCTGGACGTACAACTTGCTCTCCACCCCTAGAGACAGAGAGATAGAGAGAGATAGTGAGAGAAAAAGAGTTGCCAGGGGCGAGTGGGACAGGGTCGCATTGTGTTGTAATGGGCTCCAGGAGGGGATCCAGTCTCCCCCATTGTGAAGCATATGTCAAATCGGGGACTGGACCCCCTTCTCTTCCTGGAGCCCATTACAACACAATGCGAGAGAGGGAGAGAGCGAAAGAAAGAGGTGCTGCGAGAGCAGCAGGCAGGCCATGGAGGGGTACTGGGTCTTCCCCCCACCCCAATCAAAGGAAAGCCAGCAGGGCTTTTCCTCCTATCCTTCCCCCTGCTCTCTTCCCCTCCACTCAATCATACTTTGGGATAGAGGAATGCATGCTGGAAACACGTGTTGGGGCAACATCAGAGTGCATCTTTTGATCCTCCAGTGCTCATCCACAACCCTTAGTGCTTCTCCAGGCCCAGCTTGCTGTGGGGGAGGGAAGCAGCCCAGATGCCTCTGCTGCCTCCCCTTCATGGCCCCAGCCATTGCTGCCCGGAAAAGGCACAGGCAACAGAAAGTGAACAAAAACATAGCTCTCGCTGCATCTGGAGGTGCCAAACAGCGTCCCACTGTAAGAGCCGGGCCACGCCTCTCTGACATCCAACTTGCCAATGGGGATGCTTCTGCCAGGCCATCTCCCCCTCCTACTGGGTTGTTGTGCTCGGTGTTAGGCAGGGGAGGGGAACGCTTCCTCATGCCGCCTCCTTCTTTCTCTTGGCTCCGACAACAAGGGAGGAGGAAGGCCAGGCTTGGGGGATGGCCCCCACCCTGCAATATCTGCCTCTGCCATTCGCTTCCAGCCTCTTTGCTGGTGGCAACAGCAAATGTACTGCGACAAAGGCGGAATGCTGTTGCCGCGCAAAGGCAAGTGCAGGGGTGCTTGGTTCCCACATTTAAGGCTCTGGCCGTGCCATTGCCGCGACAGGGAGCTACAGCAGAGGGCCCAAAGAGCCACATGCGGCTCCAGAGCTGCAGGTTGCCGACCTTCGCTCTATGGAAATAATATTGAGAACTGAATGAAGACCGTCACTACAAATATCTGGGCATCCTTCAACATAAAGCACACTGAAGTCAAGAAAAAGGTTAAAAATAAATATATCAAGAGAGTGAAGAAGTCCAAACTCAGTGGAGGGAATACCATCAAGCAAATTAATCCCTGGACAAATCCAGTCATTAGCTACACAGCCGGAACAGTGGATTGGATTCAAGCAGAACCAAAAACCCTAGATAGAAGACTATAAAATAATGAAAATGAATCATGCCCTTCATCCACAGAAAAATGTTGACAGACTCTATTTACCAAGACAAATAGGTGGGGCTGGAATATTGCAAGTATATCAGATAGTTGAAGAAGAAAAAAGGGCATTGGAAGAATATCTGAAGGATGGAGAAGATGCACTGAAGCTATAACACAGGAAGATCTACTAAGTACTGGCTTACAAGAAAAACCAAACAAAATAAAGAGGCATGGGAAGACAAAGCAGTACATGGCCTGTATATTAAAAAAAATAGCAAAATAGATAATAACAAGACTTAGCAATAGCTAAGAGCAGGAGAGTTGAAGGAAGAGACATTGTGTTATGACCCATGGTTGGTGCGCAAGCAACATGTGCTAAGTGGACACTGACAACTTTTATTCAACCACCAACCCCCACCATCCCCACAATCCAGCAATTCCCAGTCTATTCTCTAAGGTCTCTGCCCCCAGGTTACCCAAGAGCAAACTTGGGGAGTATGCAACAGAGCTGGAGGATGAGGTTAGATGGCGTGGGCTGAGAGGGCAAGGGCTGTGTGTGACATCTCCCCCACTCCACCACTTGCCTGGTGGGAGAGCCATGCAACCAGGGGTAGGATTCAAATTTTTAACAACCGGTTCTGTGGGTGTGGCTTAGGTGGTAGGTGTGGCTTGGTGGTCATGTGACTGGGTTGACATAGCTTGGTGGTCATGTTACTGGCTGGGTGTGGCCAACTCAATATTATTCACATTGAAGCATGCATCTCCTTGCCTGACCTCTCATGACTGTGGGGATGCTGCAACAGTTGTAAGTGTGAAAAATAGTCATAAGTCACTTTTTTCAGTGCCATTACTTTGAATAGTCACTCCACACAAGCCAAGTACTAGCAAAGGAGGGGGAAAAAACTGCAGAGACGTTCCTGAGACAGGAAGTCTAGTCTTGGCCAGAATGTAATAAGGGTTAACGGAGAGGCAGTTTCTGTAAGCAACAGCTGAATGTTTCCTTCCTGCCTTCCTTACTGGGTTAGGCCAGTAATTTCTTCTAACAACTGGTTCTCCAAACTGCTTAGAATGTTAATAACTGGTTCTAGTGAATAGGTGCGAATTGGTAGAATCTCACCCCTGCATGCAATTCAGCCTACCAGATGTGACACGGGGATGCCTGTCCCATCATAGCCACAGGCAAGCAAAGATAGGTGGCTGCGTGGTGCATCCGGCAGGCTGCGCAGTGCATATGCCTCCTCCACCCCTGTGCCTCTGCCTGTTGCTGGTGCCACCATGAGGCGAGGCAAGCGGTGGGGCAAGGGTGGCGCCATGTCACAGTCCCTGCCCTCTCAGTCCCTGCCATCCAACCTTGTCCTCCAGCTTTGCTGGCACACCGAGCAAACGAAGACTGGACGAGTTGCATGCCTCCCCCATGCCTCTGCCACTGCCTGCTTCTTGGAGGAACTTTCCTGTGCTTTGTGGGCTGCACAGTCCCAGAGTGCCAGGCTGCCATTACTTCCAGACACTGTTGGCCCCCACGCATGTTCTCGCTGCCTCCTATGCTGGCTATGTTTCTCTTGATGATGCTCTTAAGTAGGGCTTATTTTGGGGGTAGGGCTTATATTGCGAGCAGCATGGGAAATCATGCCAGGGTTAAATTTCTGGATAGGTCATATTTTTGTGGAAATACAATAATTTATTATATGCTCTTTTTTCCACCATGGTGTTAAATCAGAAAGATGTTATATCACTTAGAACCCTTTGTGACCCTACTCTCCTGTCTTTCCCTATCTTTATGAGAAAAAAAAACTTATTGGCGATTAACATTTGGAGTGGCAATCATTGTGAGATCTTTCTAGGCAAACTTTTCAGAAGTTAATACACTATTGCATAAATATAAATTATTTATGTTTGTTCTTAGAGATATTGACAAACTGAATATATTTAAACAAATAAATAGGACTTAATTTAAGGTTATAAAAACTTGTAGTACCGAAACTTACCTCTGGATGTTTTTCTCTTTTCCAAGTTTTATAACTAATAGTAGTTGATAAGGGCAAAGGAGGATATTTCCTTGGGAATCTGAAATCTAAAGTTGAAGATAAGAATACTGCTTATGTAAAAATATATTAAGCAATACTT